CGCAGATGGTGGCCGTGCTCAGGGTGATCGGAGGAGAGCAGGCCCAGACTTCGAGGGGTGGCGCAGCTGCTGAGGAGGTACGAGTTGAGGCGTGACTCGGCAGTCGATGGACCGCTGTGGATGACCATGCCTGCTGAGGGGGGGGGGAAAGAGCATCACTTACTATACAGTGGCAGTTGACTTTGTACAGCCGTGCCCACTACTCTCAGCACTACTACGTACTTTTCTGAAGTTGACTTTCGTGCTTGCGACATTTCGCTCGTCGGTTTTGAAACCATACCTAGGGGATGGAGAGAATGAGAATGTTAAGTGTGTGACATATGATGGATTGATTGCCTCCCATTAGATCTCATTGATCGATTTCCAGTGCTGACCAGTTAGGTGCTCACTAATGAATGTCACCACGGCGGTGGAGAGAATGCGAACACATCAGCGAGTGATGTGCAGGAGTGCGCGCCATAGACTGCAGCCTCGCGCTGCACCCTACGGTCGTCCTAATTGGATTAGAAGCACTTAGAGGACAGGCAGGCAGTGCTCCGTTGACTGCCTTTGCCGGTGACTGTGCATCGCTTCCTCTCCATTCGCTCCATTTGCTCGATTGACTTGTTTGACTTTTCTCAATGGATTTGCCACTTTCCCCCCCCCTTCCTGACTGATCCTCCGCACTATTAAATTTTCCATTACAATCAATTATGTGCTCATTGCTGGAGATTATTCAATGCATTCAGTGTGTCCTCGCTGGGACTCACTGTGCCCATCTCACTGAGCTGGCACTGACGCGCGTCAGCTAAAAGCTGCCTTCTGACTTGTCGAGTCCCGATAGATTACTTGCCCCACTTGAGTCGCGCACTGCTCCCTTGTCCTTCACTCACTCAGATAGCGAGACATTGTCACAGAAAGAGAATGAGAGGGAAAGGGAGGCATCTCCACTGCATCGACTGGTGCATTCTCGAATATTTCATCAACTAATTGTTCAATTGCCACATGGCGGCCGGCCGCGTCGACATCAATCGCAGTAAGTGATGATCGCAGCCGCTTTAGCTCAGTCTCTTTGTATTAATTAATTAACAAGCCAAAAAGGGCTAATTTAATTTGAACAGTCAAGCAAATGCTGAGACTGTCAAGTGGTCTCTGTTGCGACAGTGCAGCACAGCTGCCTAGGCTACTCATCTCCATATTGCACGAGTCACTAGCCTGCCAAGTAAAGTGTTAATCAATCTTGCACTAATTATAATACTATTCATTACTGCAATCGTTGTCTGCGGCATTGTCCAGTGCATCAAACTGATTTACTTAGATTGCTTTCTCCTTTTACTAACTCGATTACCCGGCCCATGCATAATGGCCATTTGTTTTCATTTTACAAAACACACAAAACTTCTATTCCCTCTTTTTCCCTTCTTTTTCTTGATCTCATTGGTCACTGGTTTTTGTTTCTGTAGAAAAAGATGTCCTCCCCAGCAGTGCCATCCACTCCAATTAGGGCAATGTAAATTCAATGTGAAAGCTATTCGTTCCATTTGGCGATTTGTTTCAATTTGCCAATCTCGATTTTGGCGACCACTAGCTGCTGTGATCTGTTCAATCTGCTCGTCTGTCAGAATGGATTTCTAATTCTGATTAGATTACTCGATGTTGTGCTGGATTGTGCTGGCTCTAATAAAATGTCCCATCTATCACCCAAAGTCTGTCGTTTTACTGCTAATTGAAAGTGCCAGCCTGGTCAACTCGATGAAGCCATCCATTACTGGACGGCAGCAATGGCATCTGCAGACAGCGACCAAATGACCCAAAGTGGGTTGCCTCCTCAGCACAGTACCTGAACACGGGCTTCAGACAGTCCCAGTCGCTGGGAGAGCTCTTCGCGCATAAAGGCGTCCGGGTAGTGCGTCTCATCAAAGAGTCGCTCCAGCTCGTTCAGCTGCTCCAGGGTGAAGTTGGTCCGTGAGCGGCGTTGCTTGATTTTGTTGTGCGCCAGGGCACTGCCACTGCTGCTGCTGACGCTGTTCAGTGCACTGCAGTGTCCAGTGGGCAGGGGGCCACTGAGCAGGGCCACCGGTGACCTGGCTGGACTGCCTTCCGCCGGCGACCGATTGTCCGCCGTACAGGCGCCGGAGATGGAGCTGCTGACCAGTGTCTGAGTGGGCGAGGCGGCGGCGGCAGCGGCGGCAGGTGAGTCCACTGACCCATCCACAGCCACATTCAGCTCCTCCACATCGGCCATTGAGGTTGGTGACTCTCGCTTGAGCACCATGTCCGCGTCCTCCTCCTCCTCCACTTCCTCCTCCTCTGTTTGCTCTGCAATGCCATAAACTGTCTCATTGTGGTTATGCAAATGTTCCTGTGCATTCATCACCAACTGGTGCATGTCATTAGGCAGCAGACCCATTGCTAGTTGTTCCCGTGCTCTAATTGAATTAAGTCCTGATCAAGTCACATTGTTGCACTACATCGTCGTTGCCAGACAATTCAATTATTCAACTGCGGCAATTGTTCTCTGTGTTTACCATTTGATTAGCGCGTCATGTGCCCCAGTGCACCGCCACCAGCCAATCAATGCACTGAGACAGCAGACCAAAACTGCTTTGCATTATTCGCAGCACAAATTAATCCCAATTCCTCTACTCACAACTACGACTGCAAAAAAGATGTATTCCTCATTTGCTCTCCCCTCTAGCCTCATCCCTACGATTCTTGTTCTATGTAAATTAGCCGAGCACGTTGCGGAATCGTCGACATGCGTTTTGTTACTGGCAGCATGACTACCAAATAATTCATGCACTTTGAATTGTGTGCCAGTTTCAATTGACACGGTCATCTGTTCTACCTTGTTTACTACGTGATTCCTGTCCACGGTCAATTTGCGTAATGGGTCTGCTTTAGATTTTGCAATTTTTAATAATGTACTCACCTGAATGGTGCACCGTTTTGGCGCTTTGCAGTCTAAAGTCAACTAGCTTGCCTTCACCATCTCTTTCTGTTGTTTCATCTCGCAGCAGACTGGACGCATTTTCAGGCACTAGAAAAGGGAACATCGGTTTGTGGTTGTACAGCATCGAAGTGGGGTAGTGCAACGAGTGGGATCGATTTAATTGGTGCTGTATTTCACTAAATCTTTCCACCATTGTGTTGATGGCAAACTTTGAGTGAAAAGAACTCAAATCAGGTTGACTGGGAAATAAGGGAANGTTGTACAGCATCGAAGTGGGGTAGTGCAACGAGTGGGATCGATTTAATTGGTGCTGTATTTCACTAAATCTTTCCACCATTGTGTTGATGGCAAACTTTGAGTGAAAAGAACTCAAATCAGGTTGACTGGGAAATAAGGGAAATGGATAGGGCAGTGACCATTGTCCTGCCGAGACCGGCGACATTTGCGGCATTGTCGAGAGAATATTGGAGATCATGTGCGCCGCATTGATTGGCGCCGATGATGACGGTGCAGGTGGACAATTCTTTACATCTGCTTCAATCACAGGTGGTTTACTCTCTATGAAGGACTTGGCCACAAACTCAGTTAGTTGCTCCATCGAACAGACGAGGATCAGCGGTGAAGAAACAATTGAACAGGGCAGAGAAACGTAGAGCAGTAAACAGCACCGGACATGAGGACCAACTGGAGGGAAGTGTCAGCAGACATGCAACTTATTATCACCGAAGCTGACACACACAC